GAGTATGGGTTCGAGTCACTTCTGGGGTGTGAGTTTTCAGTTGCATATTGTCCTGGGGACCATTCAGGCTTGTTCGCATTTGTGTTCCTCACGTGTGCCCCAAAGAATGAGGTGATTTGGTAAAATGCTATGCCCAAGATTACTATCCGAGTGCCGGCGGTGGGGTGGTTCAAATAGCCTCGGCTATCACCTCATTATGTCCGGTCGTGATGGTCAAGTGGATTAAGGCGTCTTGTACATACCAGTAGTGTTGCTCCTGGGAGTATGGGTTCGAGTCACTTCTGGGGTGTGAGTTTTCAGTTGCATATTGTCCTGGGGACCATTCAGGCTTGTTCGCATTTGTGTTCCTCACGTGTGCCCCAAAGAATGAGGTGATTTGGTAAAATGCTATGCCCAAGATTACTATCCGAGTGCTGGCGGTGGGGTGGTTCAAATAGCCTCGGCTATCACCTCATTATGTCCGGTCGTGATGGTCAAGTGGATTAAGGCGTATTGTACATACCAGTAGTGTTGCTCCTGGGAGTATGGGTTCGAGTCACTTCTGGGGTGTGAGTTTTCAGTTGCATATTGTCCTGGGGACCATTCAGGCTTGTTCGCATTTGTGTTCCTCACGTGTGCCCCAAAGAATGAGGTGATTTGGTAAAATGCTATGCCCATGATTACTATCCGAGTGCCGGCGGTGGGGTGGTTCAAATAGCCTCGGCTATCACCTCATTATGTCCGGTCGTGATGGTCAAGTGGATTAAGGCGTCTTGTACATACCAGTAGTGTTGCTCCTGGGAGTATGGGTTCGAGTCACTTCTGGGGTGTGAGTTTTCAGTTGCATATTGTCCTGGGGACCATTCAGGCTTGTTCGCATTTGTGTTCCTCACGTGTGCCCCAAAGAATGAGGTGATTTGGTAAAATGCTATGCCCAAGATTACTATCCGAGTGCCGGCGGTGGGGTGGTTCAAATAGCCTCGGCTATCACCTCATTATGTCCGGTCGTGATGGTCAAGTGGATTAAGGCGTCTTGTACATACCAGTAGTGTTGCTCCTGGGAGTATGGGTTCGAGTCACTTCTGGGGTGTGAGTTTTCAGTTGCATATTGTCCTGGGGACCATTCAGGCTTGTTCGCATTTGTGTTCCTCACGTGTGCCCCAAAGAATGAGGTGATTTGGTAAAATGCTATGCCCAAGATTACTATCCGAGTGCCGGCGGTGGGGTGGTTCAAATAGCCTCGGCTATCACCTCATTATGTCCGGTCGTGATGGTCAAGTGGATTAAGGCGTCTTGTACATACCAGTAGTGTTGCTCCTTGGAGTATGGGTTCGAGTCACTTCTGGGTGTGAGTTTTCAGTTGCATATTGTCCTGGGGACCATTCAGGCTTGTTCGCATTTGTGTTCCTCACGTGTGCCCCAAAGAATGAGGTGATTTGGTAAAATGCTATGCCCAAGATTACTATCCGAGTGCTGGCGGTGGGGTGGTTCAAATAGCCTCGGCTATCACCTCATTATGTCCGGTCGTGATGGTCAAGTGGATTAAGGCGTCTTGTACATACCAGTAGTGTTGCTCCTGGGAGTATGGGTTCGAGTCACTTCTGGGGTGTGAGTTTTCAGTTGCATATTGTCCTGGGGACCATTCAGGCTTGTTCGCATTTGTGTTCCTCACGTGTGCCCCAAAGAATGAGGTGATTTGGTAAAATGCTATGCCCAAGATTACTATCCGAGTGCCGGCGGTGGGGTGGTTCAAATAGCCTCGGCTATCACCTCATTATGTCCGGTCGTGATGGTCAAGTGGATTAAGGCGTCTTGTACATACCAGTAGTGTTGCTCCTGGGAGTATGGGTTCGAGTCACTTCTGGGGTGTGAGTTTTCAGATGTATATATATATATATATGTATATATATATATACATATGTTTATATGACAGTGTCAGACCACGAGGGAAGATTTGAAACAAATTTCCTTAAGTACTTTCGTATATAATAATACATCTTCAGAAGGGTGAGTTACATGTACATTGATTTGGACATATAGAGACAGGAGAGAGGTGAAGTGAAGTGAGGTACAATGATAAATGTATGACTGGGAATGGGTAGATATAAATAGGGGCTGCATCCTATGGTGCAATAGGCCCATATATTGATATTAATGAGATAGTGGATATTTACACGGTATTAGTGAAACCAAATGATCCTATTCAAATTGCCCTTTAACTGATCATTCAAAAATTGATTTAAATTTTACAAACTACTGCTAATGTCCAAATTACATAATTTTGTAATCTGTATTAGAGCAGATTCAATTATGATCGAATTGAAAGTACTTTTACAATTCGTTATTGAAGAAGCCATCTCCCAATCAATTTGGTGAGAGTTTTCTTGACAAATGAACAAACAAAGTATTAGACAATTGGCCATGTCTTACAGAGTATTTATATCACGATATTCTACATTTCAAATCTTTAGATGTTTGCTCAACATTGAACCTATTACAATCTTTACAAGGTATTTTATAAATGACACAATTATCACTACGAGGACTGTGTCTAACTAAAGGTTTTCTAACAGTATTTTCGTAATTAAACTATACATGTATATCAAAAAGTTTCAAGGCCTTGACAATATTTTCAAACCCAGAAAAATATGGTAAATATTACACATTCTCTGGGCGAATTTTCTCACTGCATATATTATTATAATATATACGACGTGCTTTGCTATGCAAATTTCCAAAAAACTTAATGGAAAACAAAGCTTGAGACCAATAGAATCAATATTCCTAAACTCTTCATCTACGAGTTCTGGACTAACAACCCGAAGAGCTCTTAGATACATAGAGGAAAAAATAGAATTGTTCACATTGTATCTATGCCCTGAGAAATAATGAACATAAGATGTTCGTAGGTCTTGGCCTTCATAAGATGTTCATTATTTCTCAGGGCATAGATACAATGGGGAAAATATTTTTTTTCCCCTATGTATCTAAGAGCTCTTCAGGTTGTTAGTCCAGAACTCTTAGATGAAGATTTTACAATTACTATTAATACATGTACCAGAATTACATATAAATTTATTATTTAAACTTAAATAAAAATTTTATTATATTGTAAGGGAGCAATTTGTGTTACATATGCCAATATTAGCGAATTCACAGAACTAAATAATTTTCCTACAGGCTCGCCATAGCCCGTGCTACTTGGGAATATTTTGTTCCAGGTAACAAATCTTAAAAACAACAACAACTAAAATATAATTTGATCCTGGAGTAACACAATTTTAAACAAATGCTTCACCAGCAGATAAATTACATTAAGAATATACATAATGTATTTTAGAGAATAATAAATGAATTAAGTATTTAAATTTGAAATTATTATTTGTTGAATTTGTAAGGAGACAAATAATGTTATAAAAGTGAATCTTAGCAAATTAATAACAAAATATTTATCTGATCTTTGAATATCTAAACGTCTTAAGAATGTTTCAAACAACCATAAAATAACACATACAATTTATTAAAGAATTTCACTTTAAGCACATAAATTTATTAATTAAACATGTAAAAACTAATATTTATATATAGGGAAGAAAATAGTTTCAGAAAAAAAACATATATTATATAAATTATATATATAAATATTTTAACCACTTTTGATTAAACGTTGCTAAAAGTCCCTTTTTCCACACTTGACATGCCCACAACACTCTGGAAACGTTGATAATAGTTTCAACAATCTTTTGTGTATGATGGGCTGGTATCTTATTTACCGGATCTCCCAACACATTGATGGAAGAATAATATTAATTGATTAATATTTAGTTAATCCTTGCCACATTCTGGTCAGTCTCGCCTCATGTAACTGGATTAATGAGATTCCGGACTTTCTTAATGATGCTTCTCATAAGTTTCGAGTCTTTCCTGTTTTTAACTGGGAGTTTGTCTTAAGGGAGTGAATGGAGCCATCATAGAAATGGTTCCTTCACAGGTTGGTCAAACATGACTGTGTTACTGCTCATTTTAGGCAAGACTGGTCGCTTGGAACAGTCACGGTGCCAATCACTGACTCTTTCAACTAATCTGAAACACTCTGATAGAAGGAGCAGCTAACTATCCGTTCCCAAGGAATAGAAGAGTTCATGTGAGGGTATTGACTTGTGTCGCGGTGTCCAGCACAACACTCACACAGTCATGATGACAACAGTCTCCATAACAACAGTCACCATGGCAACAGTCACCATGACAACAGTCACCATGACAACAGTCACCAGGACAACAGTCACCATAACAACAGTCCCCATAACAACAGTCACCATGACAACAGTCACCATGACAACAGTCACCATAACAACAGTCACCATGACAACAGTCACCATGACAACAGTCACCATGACAACAGTCACTATAACAACAGTCACTATCACAACAGTCACCATCACAACAGTCACCATGACAACACTCAACATGACAACAGTCACCATGACAACAGTCACCATGACAACAGTCCCCATGACAACACTCAACATGACAACAGTCACCATGACAACAGTCACTATGACAGCAGTCACCATGACAACAGTCACTATGACAGCAGTTACAATGACAACAGTCATCATGACAACAGTCACCATGACAACAGTCACCATGACAACAGTCACCATGACAACACTCATCATGACAACACTCATCATGACAACAGTCACCATGTCAACAGTCACCAGGACAACAATTAAACACAATATTTCTCCCCTGACAATAACAGATAGCAGGAGAGGACTACAAGGGCCTAACAGAACCAGGTTGGATAAAACGTTAAATGAAATAATGTTGTTGAGGCGGAAGACCATTATTTTTCATGACAATAATGATCCCATTGAGAGGTTCACCTTCCTTGTATATCCTTCTTGTCCTGTAAACACATACAAGACTACACTTAGTCTTGTATGTGTTTACAGAACAAGAAGGATATACAAGGAAGGTGAACCTCTCAATGGGATCATTATTGTCATGAAAAATAATGGTCTTCCGCCTCAACAACATTATTTCATTTAACGTTTTATCCAACCTGGATCTGTTAGCAGAAGATTCCCTGAGAAGTCTGTCAGCAGAAGATTCCCTGAGAAAACTACAGTTCTACAGCTTAAGTTAGTGACTCAGTTGTTAAGGAAGCCCCATGTGAGTCCTAAGCAGCCTGTCTTAGGTTTTCCAGCTATCTCAGACAGAGTGTCAAGATAGCCAACAATATCGGGAGCTCCTTCGCCCATCTTGGGCTTTTCACAATCTCCACCGAAGTAGGCATTAACTTTGGCTGGCACGAGAGACTCGACACCAGTTGATGGATCAACCATCTCATGGCACATGTCTCTGAAGACAGACCTCACTATGGTCAATATATCTTTCTCCTGCCACTCCATTCCTGTCTCCCGCTTCCTATGCAGCAACCCCAGGAAGGAATTTTTGAGGCAGAATCCTGCAGGAGTCGGAACTTTCCAATAGCGAGAGTCCCACCAGGAAAACTGGTTCTTGACGTGTCTGGGCATCCAAGGCTCAGCCTTCATGCGGGAGAGAAGAGTCTTGCAGGTGAGAAACACCCGACGCTCCTGAGGCTCCAGCTGCTGCAGCACCTCCACCTCTGTCGCAGCCAGGCTACACCTCCACGACCCATCTTCTTTGTTGCTGAGCTGGATTATTTGTGAGGTTTCGGGTGTGAGGGGAGGTCTGCTGATCTCCTCAGGCCAAGGCGCCACCACCACTGGCACTAAGTCAACACTGACCAACAACAGCGGATACTCACTTCCCTGCCAGGCCAGTGACAGTGCCACACCCACCTGCGTCCTGGTCAGACCAGGTGGCACTAAACTAAGACGCTCATCACCAATGGTGTGGCTCTTCAGGCACTCTCTCACTCTATCATAAAACTTTATTACTAAGTTATTCCCATGGAGACTAGAATTTTTCGTCTTTATTTTGACTTTTAAGTTGTGACCGCTGGCTAAGACTTCTTTCTCTGTTTGTTGTATAATTTTAACTTTGACTCCAGGAAGCTCCTGGAGAACAAAATTAACGTCGAACTCATCCGGACAATAGAGCCTTGTACCATCTGCAGCGCTCCCAGACAGTCTCAGTTTCCCTCTGAAAGTTTCATCTGAAACATTTTCTGTAATTTGTTGAAGTTCTTTCATTACTTCATCCTTGACCTCTTGTGCTTCACACATGGTGAAGTCAACCGTTGTCTTCTCTAAGTCTCTCACCAAGCTCCCCAAGTCAATACGGCGGAGAAGGTTCATTGCAGCTTCTGTTGGGTCATTATTTATGTGTACAGTATTAGATGATGATTCAGATTCACGTATATTGTACTTCAGGAGATATTGAGAGAAATGTCTACGGACTTCTTGTGGGGTAGTTCCCGCCCTGCAGGTAGGTTCAGGCTCTATAATAAATTCTGCTAAAAGTTCATAAACGTCTTCATGACCGAACATTGCAGCGAGGTGGGAAGGCGTGTGGCCGTATCTGTCAGGCCGGAGCGGCTGGGCACCGAGGCTCAGAAGGAGGAGGACGCAGCCAGACTTGCCATGAGCGGCCGTCTGGTGGAGGGCAGTGGTGGCAGCGGTGGGATCCACTAGTGTGTCTACAGCCAGGCCTCCCACGTTCACCAGGAGGTATATCAGCTGCTGCAGCCCACTTCGTGAGGCCACCAGGAGGGCCTTGGGTCCTGTGGACCACACTCGGGATCCTCTAGCTCCTGCTGTCTTCTTGGCCCTAGCTCCTGCTGTCTCCTTGGCCAGAGTAGTCTTCTTCAAGTAGGTAGTGAACAAAATCTTCTGAACGTCCAGAATCTCCTGCACAAGATGCTTGTCAATGGGGTGTTTTATCTTCTCCCATAGGTCCTGCAGCTTGTTCCATTCCTTGTTATAAATACTCTGTAAAATATGTTGGGTTATAATTACTCGTAATTATTATCACACGCTTTTAATACCAACGGGTTCTGATATATATATATATATATATATATATATATATATATATATATATATATATATATATATATATATATATATATATATATATATATATATGTCGTACCTAGTAGCCAGAACGCACTTCTCAGCCTACAATTCAGGGCCCGATTTGCCTAATAAGCCAAGTTTTCCTGAATTAATATATTTTCTCAAATTTTTTTCTTATGAAATGATAAAGCTACCCATTTCATTATGTATGAGGTCAATTTTTTTTTATTGGAGTTAAAATTAACGTAGAAATATGACCGAACCTAACCAACCCTGCCTAACCTAACCTAACCTATCTTTATGGGTTAGGTTAGGTTAGGTAGCCGAAAAAGCTAGGTTAGGCTAGGTAGGTTAGGTAGTCGAAAAAACAATTAATTCATGAAAACTTGGCTTATTAGGCAAATCGGGCCTTGCATAGTAGGCTGAGAAGTGCGTTCTGGCTACTAGGTACGACATATATATATATATATATATATATATATATATATATATATATATATATATATATATATATATATATATATATATATATGTCGTACCTAATAGCCAGAACGCACTTCTCAGCCTACTATTCAAGGCCCGATTTGCCTAATAAGCCAAGTTTTCATGAATTAATGTTTTTTCGTCTACCTAACCTACCTAACCTAATCTAACCTAGCTTTTTTTGGCTACCTAACCTAACCTAACCTATAAATATAGGTTAGGTTAGGTTAGGTAGGGTTGGTTAGGTTCGGTCATATATCTACGTTAATTTTAACTCCAATAAAAAAAAATTGACCTCATACATAGAGAAAAGGGTTGCTTTATCATTTCATAAGAAAAAAATTATAGTAAATATATTAATTCAGGAAAACTTGGCTTATTAGGCAAATCAGGCCTTGAATAGTAGGCTGAGAAGTGAGTTCTGGCAACTAGGTACGACATATATATATATATATATATATATATATATATATATATATATATATATGTCGTACCTAGTAGCCAGAACTCACTTCTCAGCCTACTATTCAAGGCCCGATTTGCCTAATAAGCCAAGTTTTCCTGAATTAATATATTTACTATAATTTTTTTCTTATGAAATGATAAAGCAACCCTTTTCTCTATGTATGAGGTCAATTTTTTTTATTGGAGTTAAAATTAACGTAGATATATGACCGAACCTAACCAACCCTACCTAACCTAACCTAACCTATATTTATAGGTAAGGTTAGGTTAGGTAGCCAAAAAAAGCTAGGTTAGGTTAGGTTAGGTAGACGAAAAAACATTAATTCATGAAAACTTGGCTTATTAGGCAAATCGGGCCTTGAATAGTAGGCTGAGAAGTGCGTTCTGGCTATTAGGTACGATATATATATATATATATATATATATATATATATATATATATATATATATATATATATATATAAAACAACAGGTTTTGAAAGAAATATATGTAAAATTAAATGAAAAATATCATTATAATAATGGCTCTTGCACATTTTTAAAAACTATTGCTGTAAGGAAGTTGTTGAAGAAGTCGAAATGCCTCACAAAGAATTGTTAATGTTATTTTTATCTTATACACTGATACATACATGAATTATAACATATATGATATGCAATTTGTATACTTTAGACCAAAATAATTTTGTAGTCTCATTTTACCAAAATATACCAATTATTTGTCAATACTGCCAAAATATATTATTTAAATAGATTATAAAATATTGTTGATGTTGTAACATAACGGAAAATGGAGAAAAATTAAAAGAAAAAACGCATAGAGTGAGGGCGAGTGAGGTGGAGGGGAGGAGTGGGGAAAGAGTGGTCAGGTGAAATTGAAAGTTTAGAATGAGGTAAAATGCGTTAGAATACTTTAATTAGATAAAAGGTAGATAGGAAGAGTAGAAAGTAGTAGAAGTGCTAGACAGAAGAGTGGAAAATGAAGGAAAGAGTAAGAAGAAAGGGAAGAAGAAATAAAAGTCAAGGAAGAAGAAAGAGGAAGGGCTGCCACTATCCATTCAAGAGTTATTTATAAGACAAAGAATGGAACTTGTCAGCCCTATAATATTAACTGACGTTATCACGTATCAACTGTAAGCATTTATATCATATCATCAAGAATTATTAGGACATAATCTTTAGCAAGTAAACTTCAGAATGCTCTCTACTCTAACTTTCACTCTATCATAGGCATAAATTCAAACTCTAGGAATCAGAATTAAAGACTATTTAAAAGTAAGTTAATCAATTAACTTAATCAATTAACTTTGTATGTATGTATTCAGGAAAGTTCACAATCATATGGATATCATAACTCAACCTTGATGCTGATTTGTCAACATTAATTCAGAATTTGAGCCACCACACAATAATTTGAGATCAACTACGGCTGACTGCCCCTGAAAATTCCACAACATATAAATTGGAAAGCACAAAATACGTCAACCTTAAAATTTCACTCACCAAAGTCCCTGAGTATAAGATGGTCAGTAAGGAGGGGGTGATACGGCTGACAGCTAGGGTTCCCACCGGCCTGGTACAGGTCGATGGGACAGGTAACATGAGAGACAGACCTAGTCAAGGCTACTGGAACGTCTCTCTCTGTATTTCTCAAATGTTCAATTTCTTGTGTATTTAAGGGGAAAACCAGGAGCTAAACTCCTCCTACCAGCAGATAGCCTCTGACTATCTTCCTACCACACCTACACAGCAGATTGTTTGATGGAAAGAAAACAGCCAACGTCTGCAGTTACCTGTTTAACTGAGAGCGAGGTCACCTGATACCTCCTGACCTCTATGTAACCTGTGACAATTAACACTCAAAAGGTGTGACTTTTGAAATACTGAGGGCCGACAGCCTGGCGCCGCCACTATCCTGTGTACTGGCTCTCGTTATCATGTGAACTCTCGTTACACGTGAAATATTAAATAAACCCATTTATGGTGTTCCATTATAATATTAACAAAATTTACTTTAAATGTAATCAAAAGAAGAAAAATGTATTTATTCTGCAGAACATGTTGAGCCTCGCTTACTAGACTAAGTGGAACAGTTCTATCTGTTAGGCACAATATGTGTGCTTGTGTAGGAGAGAGATCGTAGTAACATAGTGCACTAGTCAATATAATATCCCTGAATATATATAACTGCATAATGATAAATTTCCTTAACTAGATGTTAGTTTAGTCATGCCTAGGTAAGTATGAATGTAGTGAGTTGCACGACTGAATTGTGGAGGTGGAGCACCTCACCCACATACTGAGTGAGGTGTGGAGCATGTACACTTCCCATCTCCTGTGAGAGGATGAGGTGTGGAGCATGTACACTGACCTGCAGTAAGTGGGTGAGGTGTGGAGCCTGTACACTTACCTTCTCCAGAGAGAAGGGTGAGGTGTGGAGCCAGTACACTTACCTTCTCCAGAGAGAGAGGGTGAGGTGTGGAACCAGTACACTTACCTTTTCCAGAGAGGAAGGAGAGGTGTGGAGCATGTACACTGACCTGCTCCAGAGAGTGGGTGAGGTGTGGAGCATGTACACTGACCTGCTCCAGAGGGTAGGTGAGGTGTGGAGCATGTTCACTGACCTGCTCCAGAGAGTGGGTGAGGTGTGGAGCATGTACACTGACCTGCTCCAGAGAGTGGGTGAGGTGTGGAGCATGTACACTGACCTGCTCTAGAGAGTTGGTGGGGTGTGGAGCATGTACACTGACCTGCTCCAGAGAGTGGGTGAGGTGTTGAGCATTTACACTGAACTGCTCCAGAGAGTGAGTGAGGTGTGGAGCATGTACACTGACCTGCTCTAGAGAGTTGGTGGGGTGTGGAGCATGTACACTGACCTGCTCCAGAGAGTGGGTGAGGTGTGGAGGATGTACACTGACCTGCTCCAGAGAGTTGGTGAGGTGTGGAGCATGTACACTAACCTGCTCTAGAGTAGGTGAGGTGTGGAGCATGTACACTAACCTGCTCTAGAGTAGGTGAGGTGTGGAACATGTACACTGACCTGCTCCAGAGAGTGGGTGAGGTGTGGAGCATGTACATTGACCTGCTCCAGAGAGTGGGTGAGGTGTGGAGCAAGTACACTGACCTGCTCTAGAGTAGGTGAGGTGTGGAACATGTTCACTGACCTGCTCCAGAGAGTGGGTGAGGTGTGGAGCATGTACACTGACCTGCTCTAGAGTAGGTGAGGTGTGGAACATGTACACTGACCTGCTCCAGAGAGTGGGTGAGGTGTGGGGCCCCCCCCGGGGGGGGGGGGAAAACCCCCCAAGGAGTGGGGGGGGGAAACCCCCCAAAAAGGAGGGGGGGGGGTTTTTACCCCCCAAAGGGGGTGGGGGGCAACCCCCCGGGGGGTGGTTGGGATGGAATTCCCAAAAAGGGGGGGTGGGAGGGGGTTTTTCCTTTCCCAAAAGGGGGGGGGGAAAAACCCTCCCAAAAGGGGAGGGGGGGCCCCCGCTAAAGGAGGTGGTGAGGTTGTTGGAGCTTGTACAGACCTGTTAAAGAGAGTTTGAGGTGGGGGGCCCCCCCCAAAAGGGGGGGGGAAACCCCCCCCTTTTTGGGGGTGTTAAAAAAAGGGGGGGTTGGGGGTTTTCCCCCCCGGGGGAAAAGGGTGGGAAGGTTGGGGCCCCCGAAAAAGGGGGGGGGGTTTTTCCCGGGGGGGGGAAGGGTTTTTCCCCCTAAAAAGGGGGGGGGGGGGGCAACCCCCGGGGGAGGGGGGGGTTTTAAATTCCCGGGGGAGGGGGAGGGGGGGGAAAAAAATTGGGGGTGGGGGGTTGTAAAAAATTTGGGGGGTGGAGGTTAATTTTCCCCCCCGGGGGGGGGGGCCAAACCCCCGGAAAAAAGGGGGGGGGGGAATGCCCCCCCGGGGGGGGGGGTTGTAAAAAAAAAGGGGGGAAGGGGGGTTGTAATTTTAAAAATTTGGGGGGGGG